CCTCCCTTGAGACTTCCCTCACTTCATCCCTTCCTTCCTTCCTATTGCCCCCCAACACTGACAGTCATCATGGCTAACACTAGACTATTACTATAGTCTCCTACCTCTCTGCCTGCATCTATTATCCCCGCAGCCAGTGGTGCCAAAACAATATTCCTGATTTACCTCCTAATACACCACATTCCTTCATTTAAAACAAAACCCAAAACAGATCAACTCTTCAATGGCTCCCCATCTGCCAAATAAAAAGTCGAACAGTTTAGCCTCATATTTAAGACCTTTCGTAACCTGGCTCTGGTCTAGCATTCCCACTGTAACTGTCCTACTTCCTTTTGCTCTGAAAAATGAGTCTATTCAGCAGCCCCTGCCTTCCCCCAACACACATACACACACCCCTTCTTTCTCTGTTTCCAAGGCTTTGCTCATTCCAGGCTCTGCCCTCCCTTTGCCTGGTCAAGTACTACTTGCCTTTCAAAGCCAAATCCCACATCTTCTCTTCCTTGTCTACCAAACGTAGAAATGTTTTCTTTGGCCTCTGTATTACTAGTGCTTTACAAATAACCCACCTGGTATTTCTTTTGATGCATTGTATTGTTAGCTAGTTTTGTCTGTGCTCTTTTCACTAGATTGTACCCAAGGGTACAAACCGGACTATCTGGTGACCTTCTGCTACTTCTTCATTCTTTGGCTCAGTGCTATGTGCACAACAGAGAATTAGTATATATTTGACTGAATAAACGGTTAAAGATATTGTTTACCCATTCAACAAATATTTATTAAATACCTAACATATACAAGGCGCTATTACAGACTCTAGGAAAACATAAATTAAAATTCATGAGACTTACTACATTCTAGTGGAAGAGAAATAGAATTTTTAAAAAGTAAGCTATACATAATAAGGTACTAATAGAGAAAAATAGAGCAGGGAAGGAAAATTAGGAGTATAAGGCGGGGGTATAATTTTAAATAGAACGATCATGGAAGGCCTCTCTGAGAAAATGACATCTGAGCAAACATTTGAATGAAGTGAGGGAGCAAAGTACAAGGATATATGGAAGAAAAACATTCTAGGCAGAAGAAGAGCAAGAGAAAGACTCCGAGGCAGGAGAGTGCCTGGTTTATTCAGAGAAGAACAAAGAGGACAATGTGAGGGGTGAGGAAGGAGGAAAGTTGGAGAAAGAAGGGAGAAGCAGCAACAGGAGCTAGGCTGGGGACAGCTTGAGAGCCATGCAATGAGGAGCAGAGGGTGACACATCTGATCTGAGTTTGACAAGATTAATTTGGATGTTCTTGGAGAACTGGCAGATGGGGACAAGGAGAGAGGTAGGAAGATCAGCACGGAGGTAACATAATTAATTAGGTGAGAGGCAATGGGTATTTGGACCAGGATGGTGGCAGGTGGCCACAAGTAGTCTGATTCTGGATATATTTTGAAGGCAGATCTGCTGGGATTTGCTGATAGATTAGATGTGGGATATGAGGGAAAGAGGAATCAAGGACAACTCCAAAGTTGAATGCAGCACCATTTATGGTATGGGGATACACTTGGGGGGAACAAGTTTTAGGGGAGACATTTCAGATATCAAAAATGTTAAGTTAGAGTAAGGAATGGGGAGACTGAGTAAGCTGTTAGATACAGGTATCTAGAGTTCAGGAGAAAAGACAAGACTGAAAATAAAATTTGGGGAGTTGTCAGTGTACAGATGGTATTTAAAGCTATGGGACTAGATGAGGGAGTACGTGTAGATAAAGACAGGGTCCAAGGACTAAACCCTTAGGGCACCTCTAGGAACCAGCAAGGGAGACTGAGAAGGAGCAGCCAGGAGGAGAATGATAACGTTGGTATGTTGAGAACACACTGTGCACTTAAGAGAACAATTCCTGTTCATGACATACCGGGCACTGATTTAACTGAGACTATGGCAGGCTAAGGGAGAGAATTCATTTTCCCCACTCACATCGCAGCTGTGGTTAGGTAAACTTTAGGCAGAGGCTACTAAGATAAGCAAGGATATAACACAGCTTTCTGTAAAAAGTAAAATTTCAATAACATAGTATTGACTGAGTTCTGTTTTCTACCCTCAAAAACTACAGTGATAACCAAGTTAGAGTAGGGTTCCTCAACTATGGCATTCTTGACATTATAGGCCAGAGAATTCTTTATTGTGGGGGGCCGTGCTACACATTATGGGATGTTTAGCAGCATCCACTAGATGCTAGTAGAAGACCACCTCCAATTCCCCCCATCATCAAAACCAAAAATGTCTCCAAAAATTGCCAAATGTCCTCTGGGGGACAAAAATCATTCCCAGTTGAGAACCACTGAGTTAGAGAAAGCTGTCAACGAAAGCCAACTCCTAAGTGTACTTTAAGCACCGTTGCTGCCAAATACATATACCCATTAATTTCTGCTGATAATCTGTACTTTGGAAGATTCTAAGTATATTCACTACCCAGAGTGAACAAAGTAGGCAATTAGCTCAAACTATCATAAAAAATGCACTTCTAGTTTTTTCAGTGTAAAAAGCACTCCCCGAGTCTACCCAGTTCAAAAATGACCATTTCTGAACATCCATGATCACAGCAGCATTACTCACACTAGCCAAGAGGTGGAAACAATCCAGTGTCCATCAAAAGATGAATGGGTAAACAAAATGTGGTGTATACATACAATGGAACATCACTGAGCCTTAAAAGGAAGGAGGTTCTGACACGTGCCATACCGTGGATGAATCTTGAGGACATCATGCTAAGTGAAATAAGCCAGTCACAAAAAGACAAATGCTGTATGATTCTACTTTTATGAGGTATATCTAGAGTAGTCAAATTCATAAGAAAGAAAGTAAATGACAGTTGCCAGGGGCCGGAGGGGAGGGGGAAATGGAGAGTTGTTGTTTAGTGAGTATAGAATTTCAGTTTGCTTTTTTTTTTGAGACGGAGTCTTACTTTGTTGCCCCCGGCTAGAGTGCCATGGCGTCAACCTAGCTCACAGCAACCTCAAACTCCTGGGCTCAAGTGATCCTTCTGCCTCAGCCTCCCGAGTAGCTGGGACTACAGGCACGCACCACCATGCCCGGCTAATTTTTTCTATATATTTTTAGTTGTCCGATTAATTTCTTTCTATTTTTAGTAGAGACAGGGTCTCGCTCTTGCTCAGGCTGGTCTCGAACTCCTGAGCTCAAACGATCCACCCGCCTTGGCCTCCCAGAGTGCTAGGATTACAGGCGTGAGCCACCGCACCCAGCCAGAATTTCAGTTTTATCAGATGAGAAAGTTCTAGAGATTGGTTGTCCAACAATGTGAATGTACTTAACACTACTGAACTATATAATCAGAAATGGTTAAGATGGTAAATTTTACATTATGTGTATAACTGGAAAAAAAAGAGTGTAGCTCTGGAGTCAGACCACCAGGATTCAAATATTGGCAAAATGCCCAGTAGGGGTACCTGCTTCACAGTAAGTGCTCAATAAACATTAGTCACTAATTAAAAATTAGCATTTTTACTGGTATTATACCAGTGCATGATCTGTCTGCAGCCATGATTGACAGTTATAAATGACTCTGATTATGACAGCAGTTATAAATAAAGGTGGGTAGGAAAAAAATGACTATTTCTCATAATAAAATCATTTTGCTAACTGAATATCATTAAGTTCAAAACAAGGTTAACCTCTTTCCCCTCAAAATTAGATCTTCTACTATGGATTTATCATGTCTCCTACTCTAAAGATTCAGACTCTTTTTGTATTATATTTTTCAGACCTTTAAAAAACTTTTAAACTTTTAAAATTTATTTGTGTGTATGTAAATATACACTATTTTTCCCTTAAAACAATCAACAATCCATCCGATATGTTATCTTATTTATAAAAGGTTTTTCTTTCATTACTGATTCTAACAATTACTGGCAGAGTCCTACACTATCTCCAATTCTGACTCTCATTCATTTCCTTCTTAACATATCGGCTCAAAATGGCACCTAGTTTTTTTTTTTTTTTGAGATAGGGTCTCTCTCTCTTGCCCAGGCTGGAGTGCGGTGGCATCGTCATAGCTCACTGCAACCTCAAACTGCTGGGCTCAAGTGATCCTCCTGCGTCAGCCTCCCAATTAGCTGGGACTACAGGTGTACATCACCACACCCAGCTAATTTTTCTATTTTTTGTAGAGACAGGGGTTTCGTTCTTGCTCAAGATGGTCTCAAACTCCTGACCTCAAGCAGTCTTCCCACCTTGGCCTCCCAGAGTGCTAGGATTACAGGCATGAACCACCATGCCCAGCCAGCACCTAATTTTAATAGCCTTATTTGAGTTTAGGACAGATAAGAAAAAGATATACCAAAACAAAACAGAAAATTTAAAGCAACAGAAAGTGAATAAGAGAAAACCTACCTGTCCACTTTTGATGACAAGCAAGAAGAACATTAGGGACTAAGTTCGTAGCTCTGAAAGGCAAGCTCATCAGTCATCAGGATAGAAAATGGGGACTCATTCAGTAAGATCAAATCCACAGAAGAATGCAAGCGCCAAGAGTGGGGAGTGGGGAGGCGAAATGTCTAACCTGCATGGGATTAATCTTCACTGAGCGTTCGAAGCATTCCACACACTCTTGAAACTCCTTGTTCCGAAGATGAAGGAGGGCTTTGGAGCGCTGAGCACGGGCACTGCGGTGCC